GTGAACGTGTTGGTGTTGCATAGATTGGAGCACGATGCCAGAGTCTTAAGGGTGCTCATTGTTCAGTACATTCAATTTGGAATCTGCCAAACAAACATTATCCAGGTGATGAATATTATTGTTGACAGCTATCTTTGTACAGTATATGGGTGGGCAGGCATACAGACCACACATGGATGGATGGACCAAGCAGATGAGGAGGGAACGGAAATGCTGGAGGGGCAGGTGGCAAGCAAAGGGTTTGGACATGGCTAGGCAGGTGAGTGGATGGAGAAGCGGACCGGTGGGTGCAGTGCCAGAGAGAGGAGGTGAGGAAAACAGCCAAGTACAAGAGTTTAGACCTCGACGTATGAGTAGGCAGGGATTGAAGGGAGCGATGGAGGAGGGGGTCGGAGTGACAGGGATGGGTGTGTGTGGATTGTTTTCCTGTGCCATGCTTGACCAAGACAAGGTGCTTGTGTAAACACAGGCATTGTGTGGGACCGTAGAAGATTAGAAACGGACACGTGAAAAAGAAAAGACATTCAGTTGTATTAGTGCTAGGACAAGACCTCATTAATTACATTACATTACGACCTGCTATGTGGTGAAGTAGAGAGCACTGGCTGCAGCAGCTGGCTTTAGTGACGAAATTGTGAGAAGTTGGCTTAGATACTTGATGGCAGATTTGGAAGGCGATGAAGGGAAGCATACGAGTGAGGGGGAGGTTTTGTTGTCCTCTCTGCTCTTGTCATTTCTTTTCAGAATGATTGACCAGATTCTGAAATTCCGTCATGGGAAAATAACCTTTGGTCCCTAGAACAGCATCGGACACAGTGCTGTCCTGCAGATCCGCTGTCCTCACCTGGACGTCTGCAGATCTGTGGCTGACCACGAGGCATGAGGATGTCATGATGTGGACCATCAATCTATCTGCGCTATGTCCATCCACGAAACGTGGTGGATGTTGCGGATGTCAGCTGCTGCAGGTATTCTCTGCATACACGCAAGTGCACGTGTGTGTGGAGGTGTCCACACGTATGTGAAGATGTTTTTCATTCAGAATTCAAACTCTCGGGAGGATATTTTATTGTTGGTTGGAATCTTCGTGTGATAATCAAACTGTTGTAGTTATCCGTCAAGTCTCCCCAGGTGTGGAGATTGTGAATCAATCGTATGAAACTAGGTAGTTGCTAGTAGCATCCTGTGGCTGGGACACAGGCTTCGCAAATTAGAATGGTATGTGCTCCTGTCATTCTGCGATGGGGATTGGCGAGCTGAACACCGATGGAGTCTTCATTCCTACGAATGTCGACATTTTCACTGCAGTACGTAAAGGGTGACTGAACTGGTAGTCAGGTATCAGGTGGTTTGTACACTTTGCTTAGGCGAGTGCAGAGCATTTTGCTTGAAGGACTGTCATGGATCCCTGCATGTGTCAATCTACCTGCCATGAATTTCGTGAGCAGATGAGAACGGAGTGAGCTAGTATCATGGCTCCAGCCCATGTTCAATTGCAGCGGAGATTGTGAAGACAAGGTTATCTTTTCCTCGACAACCGTGGTCTGCCCTCCCCTGGCCGACAGCTCTTCCCATTCCAACATTTGCTAGCCTAGCCAATGTAGACGGGAATCGTTGTGCTTCACGATTCCACTTCAAATTGGGTTAGAGGGTGATAGCCACCCTGTCACGCAAATCTTCGAAATCGAAATGGGATGGATGGCTTGTACTACGTTTGTGGTAAGATCCTACAGTGTCAGTCTAGTGCTTCAAACTCTAATGGCATGAATCGCCAACCTTCTCCTCTCTGGACAAGGCGGGGGTATTCAGGGTGGCGAGGACTGTGCAAAGTGTGTCTTGTCCTTGAAGACATTCGTTGCGAGGCAAGGGTGGGGGTGGCCGGGGGCGGGAGAGAGAGAGAGAGAGAGAGAGAGAGAGAGAGTTGGCTCGAACGCTGCTGCCACAGTTGTTTTCAGAGTTGTGCAAAAACGTTGTAACATCGGATCTGTTCTTTGGCCCTTCGCGCAGCACACTTGAAGCAGTTGAATCTTGTGTATTCTTCGTATCCAAATGCTGGAAGATGTCAAATACTGTCTGGAACAATTCCGTCGTTGTCTGCCATGTATGTGCAAGGAGGGTCGATTGCACTTTTCACATGAACAGTCAAGGGGGTTGCAAGTTGTTGTCAACGAGTTGAATCGTAGCAGATCTTACGTTCCAAGCGTTTCAAGGGAGGTGGGATTGCTAGGCCCGGTGCAAGATTGGCAAGGCAGCACGGAATTCAGGATGGCAGCAATGCATACAGAAAAAGGCCTTACATGACGGCGGGCTGGTAGGCAGACAGACACAGACGGAGGGAGGATTGTCACCCACCAATTGTTGATTGTGGATCACGTAGTTGGGGGATTTACAGCCGTGTGGGCACCTGTCTTGTGGAGATCACCAACGGCAAAATCATCTCTGGCTGGATCTCATCGGGTCTTCAGGAACCTAAACCCACTCTTCTGCCCCTCTATCACCCCAGCATCACTGATAGTCCACCCTTCTCAGTACTTTGCAGGCTACGGGTCCTCAGAATGCCTAACCCACTTCGGTGCCTCGCTATCACCGAAGAGAACTGCTCATAGAGTCCTCCCCAAGCATCACTGGATCTCATCATCTGGGACTAGTCATAGCTAAGATCCACGCAAACTGTAAAGCTCTAGCACCTCAGCGGAGTCAGCGGTGAAGCATATTTTCACAAACCACCATCCAGAGACACCTTTGCTGTTGATGATCCGTGCGGGCCACGTTGGGCCACGTGGGTACCTGTCCCGCAGAGATCGCCTACAGCAAATGCATCTCTGGCCGGTGCCTTGTAAAAGTACATTTCACGGCTGACATGCTAGAGCTCTGCAGTTGGCATGGATGTTAGCTATGGTTAGTTCTGGAGGATGAGATCCAGTGATGCTTCTGCTGGACTCTATGGGCCTCTTGGGGAGCGAGGAGGGGGGGGGGGGGGTCATTTTCAAATGATGTCATTTTGATGACCATTATCTGTGCTGCTACCTTTCTGTTCGATATTGCCGCCCTGAGTTGTAACTTCCTTCCTTCCTAGTGGCTCTAGAACAGCTCCGTCGCTTGAGAAGATGGGTCGCAGGTCAAGCTGCTATCGATGATCCTATCATCAGAAGCCTTGTATGGGGCACCAATAACTTGTGCAGTGTATGCATTCCCATGGAAAATGGAGTGGAACAGCCATTTTCCTCATCTGCTTTGCATTTCCATGATGCCAGGCAGTCTAGCTCTGCCAAAATCGGAGATTCTGGGAGCTGAGAGCGAACGCTTGAGCATTGTGGAGACGAAAGATACCCAGCGCTCGTAAACTTACTTTGGAGCTTGCCTTCATTCCTGGAGCAGTTCGGATACGACTTGACGTCTAGTCTTGGGTTGTTAGTTATCAGCAAGAAGATGAACAGGAGTTGATAGTCGCTGAGAATGTGGCTACGTTGTTAAACATGGCTGTTCGGGTCAGTGGGGGGACCTTTGTACTTCAGTGCTCGTCAACTTACTTTGAAGCTTGCCTTCATTTCTGGAGCAGTTTGGAACTCCTCAGGTACTGCTTGACGTCTAGTCTTGGGTTGTTGGTTATCAGCAAAAGATGAACAGGAGCTGATAGGAACTGGAGCTATTGGCTATAGCGTTAGAATAGAAGGACATGGCTTTTCAATGGGTGGTGGGTCAGTGGGGTGACCTTTGTACTTGAAAACGAGGACTCGAGGACCTGGTGGACGATATATATTACGTATGTTTGACAAGAAGAGAACAGGAGCTGACGGTAGCTGCAAGCATGCAGCACACATTATTGGCTCCGGTGGTATGGTACAATGATCTTCCTGTTCAAAGGGTGGGTGAGCAGCAGGGCGAGTTTTGTACTTTGACATGACAACTTTGGGTCTGGTGCATGGTGATCTGCTAAGAGGGCTGCCAACATCTGTAGCAAGGATTCTTGACTCGTCGGCGTTGAACTTCTCCCGGTCAAAAGGCTATGAACAAACTCATCTTGGAACAGACATTCTGAACAAGAATACAATTAACAACAACCGTATGCAGATCAACATTGCCTGAAAGAAGGTGGTTGGTGTATCTGGGGCACATCTGAAAGAAGGTGGTTCGCGTATCGGGGGCACATCTGATCATCTTTTTGAGGTCTTCTTCAGTGAAGCGAGGATGAAGTTGTTCTGCAACCTTCATCAACACACAAAGGCAGAGGTTGTCGAGGCGATCTGGATGTGTTCTGTGCAGAGGGTGTCGTTTCGCAGTCTCGCAGCGGACCCAGGGAGCAAGTTAACCAGGCTTTTTTATAGCTCTAGCTTGTGCACGGTGGCCATTGTATGACCGTGTGCTTGGCAGAGGGTGTTGTTTCTCAGTCTCGCGGTGGACCCATGGAACAAGTTAAGCTGGCTCTTATAGCTCTAGCTTGTGCACAATGGCCATTATATGACCGTTATATTGGTATTTGCCTATTTCTTAGTCCGAAGCGCAGGTGCTTCCCTGGCAGTCAAGCTTGGGCACAATGGATCGGTTCTTCTTAAAGATGGCCAGCTGCCAACGCAGCTGGCCAGGTGGGCAAGGAGCAAATTGCTGAGAGATTGTGAAAATGACTCCTACAAACTGGTAGTCGCCTATTTCTTAGTCCAAAGGGCAGGTGCTTCGATGGCAGTCAAGCTTGCGCACAATGGATAGGCTAAGCTCAGCACCAAACTGGAAAGGCAGCTGGCTGGGTGGACAAGAAGCGCATTGTTGTGAGAGAGTACGAAAAAGACTCCTACAAACTGGTAGTCGCCTATTTCTTACTCCGAAGGGCAGGTCAGGTGCTTCCATGGCAGTCGAGGTACAAACTGGTAGTCGCCTATTTCTTACTCCGAAGGGCAGGTCAGGTGCTTCCATGGCAGTCGAGGTTGGGCATAATGTATAGGCTCTGCTCAGCACCAATCTGGAAAGGCAGCTGGCTGGGTGGACAAGAAGCGATTTGCTGACAAAAGAATGTGAACGACTCCTAACACAATTCTTGTAGGGGCTGTGGAATTCTTGTTGCATCTCGTCACTTCGGATGCGTCGGCCAGAATTCTGAGGCTGACGGATGATTAAACTGCCTCAACCAATGCTAGACAGAGGGGCTGTGGAATGACCAGTCCAACGTGCCGAATGGCTGGATGCTTGGGAGCCAGCAGCAGCCGTCTGACAACTGGATAGTGATGACTAGAGCAGGGTGTCTGCCTTGCTCTTATGCTGCTGCTCATGTGGTTTTTGAGGATTGAGTGAGAAGACTGCTTGTACACTTTGCTGTGTTAAATTCCCGACCGGGGACCTGCACGGTATGCAGAACTGGGACCTGCACAGTATGTGGAACTGGGACCTGGACAGTATGTTGAACTGGGAAAACACAGAAAACGGGCAGTAAACTGGAAATGATGGTATAAGAACGTCTCCGGAACTGTAGTTGTTTTTTTGGCAATTGGAGGCGAGCTGCAAAGGTCCATGCTACGGGGGACCGGGAGGAGGAGATGGAAAACTTCAGCGGGGGAGTAACGTCATGTCCGTTTGAGGTGGAACTGAGGACTGAGCAAGCATCATTTGTCCTCTGCGCTGTGTAAATGACTTGGCGCCGAAGCTGGCGGAGTATGTCTCCTGGGTGTTAGTCTAGCACGCGTTTGCGGGTTTGCCTTGCTGTGGAGGTGCCATTGATGTCAACATTTATGTTCACGAGCAGAGTAAATCTGCTCAAATCCTTGTACTTGTGTACTCTTACGTGTCGTTGCACCTTTTCTCCCTTCTTCGGCCTTCAATGTCCATTCCCCTCCGCTGCCCTATTTTTTCTATCTCCATCTCTTGATCTCGCATTCCTGTTTTTCCCCTCCCTCCCAACCCCATCTTTTGGCTTCCCTGTTTGGGCTGAACTGCCTTGCCATGGTTTACGCTTGGGTGTCTGTCGCACGTTGGTCTGCATCTCCTCCGAGCCAGCTTCTTCCCCTCGTCCAGTGAGTACCTTCACACCACCACTACAACCACCTTTTTCCCCTTATCTTGTTTTTTTTTTCGGTTGTTTTTCCTAATCTTTTCTGAAGTTATTTCCAATCCTTCGTTTGATGAAATTTGATCTGAATACTTTCCTATTATTGTGTTCTTTCTTTCTTTCTTTTTTTTCGGTCTTACTTCCCCTGCTTCCGTCCCTCCTGCTCCACACTCCTCACATTTCCTTTTCTAGCTCCGTCCATCTCCGCGCACAAATGTCGTCCTCTTCGCTGTCACCCTTTCATTGCCCGGTTTTTGTACTATCTAAGCACATCTTTTGTGTTCGTGTGTGAAATGACACACGTGTTTGGTGTATGAAATAACTGATCGCTTTGTATGATTTGAACCATAAACTTTCCAGATATACACTTGCACCAGATCTACATGTATATGATGTGAAGTTGTTAACTAATGAAGTTTCCATGGACTTCCCAGATATACACTTCCACCAGATGTACATGCAGTTGGTAAGTGCACGGATGAAGCTGTCTCTGTATTGACCACGTGGTTGGTTTTCAAACGAGGGGGGAGGCTAGAGTCCGCGAGGTGGAAAATGGCGGACAAGTTGGCCACTGGTTTGATGCCATGCGCTGGCAGAATGTGGCAACGGCAATGCTGAATGTGTGTCTCTACCTGAGTTTGGGCTGACTTTTGCTGTTAATTTGTATTCGACGACTGGTGATGCGCACCAAGACTGGGGATGATGGACCCACAAAACAAAATGAAAAAATGAAGGGATATAAGAGGTGATGCCACCGTTTGCGAGCGCAAGGAAAAATGAAAAGGGACCCAAGGAACCCACTTAAAGCACCCCGCCGGCCTCTCAAGGCCTCGGTGCTTGGTACGAGGGGAGGGAGCGGCATACCAAAACTGTGCGTCATCAATGCTTCAGCACCCTGTCAGGGGAAACGAAGGTGTATTCAGAAAAGAAGAAGGTTGTGGATAAGTAGAATACCAATTGATATACAATCAGGTTCCATTTTGATGTACATATGGTTGGGGACATTGTGACAAGGGTAGTTTTGGGATTCTGAAAACATTATGACAGAGGTAGTTTTGGATTCGGAAAAACCTCTTGCTGCTGTACTCCACTCGCCCCTCCTCCAACGCTCACCTCTCTCCTCGACCGCCGACCGGTAGGATCAACGGCTGTGAGAATGCAGTTAGATCCCATCCTGCGGGGTCTGCATAGAGATCTGCAGATGCTCAGTCCCATTCTGGCAGGGCAAGTTTTCGGATTCTGAAAATCTCGTCTTCCTCTGACACCAACCCCTCTCCTCCCCCCGCTTCCCCCTTCCGTTACACCACCTTCCTATCCACCACTGTATCTTGGTAAAGACTGACAGTGGGACAAACATGAGCTTATCCAACCCATAGGAGGCACACATGTTTGTGAAATGGCAGGATGACGCACTTGCCACAACGAGGGTTGTGTTATACTGTTGTTGTCTTCTGTGCGCGTTCATGTGCTGTTATACCGCTGTTGTTTGCTGTGCGCGTTCATGCGCTGTTTTATGATGGGTGGTAATATCCAATGCTTGTGCTTCGAGGAAAGGATATACGGACGTCTGGAGGAAGAGGGACAGAAGTCTCTTGTGGTGGTCCACATGTTTGTGTGTGTGGGTCGTGTGTGGTGGACGGTGCACTTCGTGAACCTTGTGTGGATGAGGGGGAGCGGGTGGTGATGAAATGGAAGGAAAAGGAGGGGGGGAAGGAGAATATGCAGCCATCAAGCAGGACGCGGAATGAAACAGACAGAAGGAAAAGGAGGAGCAACAGCAGCAGCGGGAGGAGGTCGGAAGAAGCCCAGCTGGAGGGGGAGGAGAAGGATGGGAAAGAAGAGGGCAGCACAGTGAGAGCACAAAGATAAAGAGCAAGAAGAGGAAGGACAAAGAGGAGGAAAGGGACAACGAGAAGGCAGGTGCTTGTTATAGCACTCTGTATCAAAAACAAGGTAGGCCACCATGTCTCTCTCCGCACGATGATTTTTAGAGCAATCCTAACAGAAGCGTTTATAGTCGCAATTTCTAATGAAAATTATGAAATATAAAAACATAAAATGCAAAAATGAAACAAGAAAAGGATGAAAAAAAAGGTGAATACGAATGAAGAACGGGAACGGGAAAAGACAAAAATTGATATCAATGAAGAGGGAGAAGGGGGAGAACCTGAGAAGGAGAGGAGCAAGCACTTGCCTAATGCAGTACTACCCACAAAAATCGAGGACGAGGAGGAGAGATTGAGAAGGCATTGTCGAAAGAGCTGGAGGAGAAGGGAGAGGTGGAGGAGCAAGAGCACCAAGATGAGGTGGTGCAGCCGAAAGGGCTAAATAGAAAGGGCCGCTAGGAATGGGTGCTCTGATGTAAGAGCAGCAGAAGAAGAAGGAAGCAGTTGCGTAGCATGTTGCTAGCACAAAGAGGAGCACAGAAAGGGGTTAGGAAAGAGTGTGCTGAATGGGGGGATGATGAATATGAGCAGGAGCAGGTGGAGGGATGGGAGTAGAAGGAAGCAGCTGCCTACTCTCTCTTCCCCCAATAGTGTGGACGCAAAGGCAACCAACCGTCAGGTCAGGCGGCCAATAAGAGGGGGAGAGAGAGGGAGAGAGTGAGAGCACACACACTCACTCACTCGACATGACTGAGGGTCGGACGCAGACACAGTGGCAAGGGCACAAAGTCGAAGTCTTGGAATCCCGAATGCCGAAACAGCAAGTCACACTGAGTGCGAGTACAGCAGTTGAAACTGGTACGAGACTGGTCCCCGTACCGTACGGGGAGCCGGTGTAAGTACCGGTGACACGTCGGTACCAGGGGCATTTCTGCAAAGGCCCCGAGGGCAGAACTGAAAAATGCGGTACTTGAAAGTGGCGCCCAAATTGCAGCATGGCGCGAGTTGTCCAAAATCCTACGGTACCAAMGGAGGGGTTTGGAAAAAGGGTGCCAGGCCGAAAACGGGATGCAGCCGAAACAGCAAAAAGATAGACCAGGGATCGAGCCCTGGCGGAGTCCGTAGCACTATCCCCTCCCTCTAGAAGGCAACGTCCCGGCTGCCAAAATTCATGAAGCAATGCTGGAATCTGTGAAGGACGGGACGGGGCCGATCACTGGTTAACAAGTCRAAAGGGAAGAGGGGTATAATGTGGGTGGCATGGGCTGCGGGAGTAAGAGGGAACAGGGTTTGGTACCGGTGAACAGAGTTGTCCTACTGATGAACTAGGGGGGGTTGCAGGGAACAGGGTAGTCCTACAAATGAACTAAAGGGACGGCATGGGTTGCTATAGGTTAAGGGGGAATAGAGTTCAGGGAACAGGGAACAGGGAACTTCTATTGATGTTCTACTGGGTAAGGGAAACGGTGTTCAGCAAAACAGGGTATTTCTATTGATGTTGTAGTGGGTAAGGGAAACAATGGTCAGGGGAACAGGGGATGTCTATCGATGTTCTAATGGGTACGGGAAACAATGGTTAGGGAAACAGGGATCTGCTAATGATGTTCTACAGGGTTGTCAAAGTCAGGAAAAACAAAAATGAAAATGTTTGTTCAGGATGCAAGGGCTGGTGTGTCCGAAGGAGTTGGAAGCAGAATCTCATGTAGGAGCAAAGTGTCCAAGTGTCTTGAAAGGGGGTCTGCAGCGGTCTTGATCAGGTCTTTGGAGTAGGTGGTAGAAACGGTCTTCAGCGGCTGCGACAGGTAGAAGTCCAAGAAGTGTAGTAGTAGTTCAAGTGTCAAAGTCCAAGTGCTAGGGTGTGTCCGGTACACGAACTGCAATGAGGTCTGATCTGGAAGCAAGGAAGTCGCAGACTGATGCAAAGATCCATGTCACAAGTTGCTGCTCCAGTAAGTCCGCGAGTCGGGATGTCGGCCGATGAAACAGCATGGTGGCCAAACCAGCTGCATAATCTCCATGAACAGTGAGGCAGCAGGCCATCGTCCTCGTGCGCTTGCCATTAGATCCTTTATCGTCGGCGTCACTCAGGTTCACAAGCATTGGACAAGAGAGACAAGGTAGTGGAGAGGACAAATGGGACAAGGCTAGGCGCAGGTAAGGGCAGATCAGACGTCAGGAGTCAGGGTCAAGGGGAGGGTGGCTGGGTTCAAGGGTGTGTGTAGAGCAGCGTTGCAAGGTTTTAGCGGGGGTGTATGCCATAGTTATATAGGTATCTAGGACATAGGATTAACACGATCATAGGCGCGGACAAGTTTCATGGCGTTCTTAAGATTAGAGAGAGGTTCCCATGTAGATTCTTCGTCAGGGTATCCGGTCCATTTGACTTTGTTTTCAGTGATTGGTTCCGGATGATCAGATACCTGAGTGGTTAGTCGGCCGATGATGGTTTCGACAACGAATTCAGGGCCTGTGGGTAGCATGATTCATGGAGGTCTGGATATGGGCGGTCGGTGAACTGGGGCGGGGATTTATGGTATTCTTTTAGGTACTCAACATGGAAGACTGGGTGGACACGACTCATGTCAGGGGGAAGCTGGAGTTTGTAGTTGACGGGGGAGGTTTGTTCAATGATGGTGAAGGGACCGAGCCATTTGTTGGAGAGTTTCTTGGACAAGCCGTGTTCGGGTTCAAAGCGCTTGGCGGAGAGCCAGACTTTGTACCCTACTTTGAATGACACGTCGCGTCTATGCTTGTTAGTCTTGTTGGTTTGTTGTTCTTGGGTTCGTTCAATGGCTTCGGAGGCTTCTCTCAGGAGTCTGTTCATTGTTGCTACCCATTCATTGAGAGAGGGGCAGGGGGTGGATGGGTTAAGCTGCGAAGGAAGCAAGAAGTCAGAGGGCAAGCGAGGGTGGTAGCCAAGGTCGAGGCAGAATGGAGACATGCCGGTGGAAGGGCAGACGGCGTTGTTGTAGGCAATCTCGACGGCTGTGAGCAACTAATCCCAATCGTGTTGATGAGGATGACAATACTTCCGCAGGATACTTTGGAAAGTATCGTTCATTTTCTATGTTTGTCCATTGGTCTGTGGATGGAATGCAGTGCTATACCTGAGCGTGGTTCCGTAGGCCGTGGAGAGGTGAAAGTGAGGATCACGGTCACTGATGATGTTCTCGGGGAGGCCGTGACGGCAAGCAACATGGTCGAAGAAGAGTGTGGCGACATGAGGTCGTGCAAGGGATGAAGTGAGCACGTTTGGTCAAGCAGCAAACAATGACGTAGATGTAATCATGCGAGTGGTCGGTCTTGGGAAGACCGCACACGAAGTCCATGGAGATGGACTGCCAACGGTGAGTAGGGATGGGCAATGATTGGAGCTTGTCGGGTTTAGCCTGGTTTGAGGGATTAACGACTTGGCATGTGGGGCATGAGCGAATGTATGCCTTGACGTCGGCGAGTAGGGAAGGCCAGTGGAAGTAGCGGGAGATGGTGTCGAAGGGTTTTTGGAAACCGAGATGGCCTGCGGTCTTGGCGTCGTGGTGCTCGGCCAAGAGCTGAGTACGGAGGCCTCGTGCGTCAGGGATGCAAAGTCGGCGCCTTTGGTATCGATGTAGAGGAGGTTCTTGTGGACGGAGTAGTCGGGAACTGGGTCAAGATCGCGAAGCTTGTTGTAAATGGTGGTGAAGTCTGAGCAGGAGAGATAGCCTTGGATGTATCGGTGATACAGTGATGGAAGGAGTTGGATATGAGTCATGGCGGCGTAGACTTTCTCTCGGGGCTTGTGGTCGGAACGTCGAGAGAGGGCATCCGCAACATGGTTGCTTTTGCCAGGGGTATGGCAAATGGTGAATGTGAATTGGGCAAGGAAGTCTAGCCAACGGGCTTGGCGTGGAGTGATATCTTTCTTGGAGAGGATGGAGGAGACGATGGTGTTGTCAATGCGGATGGTGAAGTATTGTCTGTCGAGGTACGGGCGCCAGACTGTGAGGGCGTGAATCACGACGAGTTCCTTCTCGTTGGAGGGGTAATTCATCCCGCGGGAAGGAGCTTCTTGCTTGCGAAGGCGATGGGGTATTCGCCAGGTGGAGCCTCGGGGTGAGTGGGCGAGTCCTTGATGGAGGGGGTGTCGCGGGGGAAATGTTGGGACAGTACGGCTCCAATGGCGAAATCGGAGGCGTCGATGGTGAAATAGAAATGCCGAGTGGGGTCGGCGATCTTGAGGACAGRGGCCGTGGTGATGGTTTGCTTGAGTAATTCGAAAGCGTGTTGGCACCAATGGAAGGGCTCGTCCTCGCGGGTGAGTTCGTGGAGAGGGTAAGAGATCTCGGAAAAGTTGCGAATGAACGGGCGGTAATAGTTGGCAAGGCCGAGGAAGGAACGGAGTTGGAGGAGGGTCTTGGGTGGGGGCTACTCGACGAGGGTTGTGACCTTCGAGGGGTCCATACGGATGCCTTCAGCGGAGACAATGTGGCCGAGGTATTCGACGCTCGAAGCGGCAAACGTACACTTGCTGAGCTTGGCGTAGAATTTTTGCTCTCGGAAGATCGAGAGGACTTGGCGGAGGTGTTAAAGGTGGGACTCGAAGGTTGGGCTGAAGACAAGGATGTCATCAAGGTAGACGACGACACAAACTTCGAGGAGGTTGTGGAAGATGTGGTTCATGGTAGATTGGAAGGTTGCGGGGGCATTGGTGAGTCCGAATGGCATCACGAGGAACTTGTAGTGCCCGAACCGAGAGCGGAAGGTGGTTTTGTGGGTGTCCTCCTCGCGGATACGGATCTGGTGGAAGCCACTTTTTAAGGTCGATCTTGGTGAAGTACTTGGCTCCATGGAGACGATCGAGGAGCTCGGAAATCCGAGGTAGGGGGTACTTGTTCTTGATCGTTATCCGGTTCAAGGCGCGGTAGTCCGTGCACATGTGGAGTTCCGAAGTTCCACCTTTCTTGACGAAAAGGCAGCTGGTTCCGAAGGGGGATGAACTTGGCTTAATGAACCCTTTTTCAAGGAGTTCACTGAGTTGCCGCTTCATTTCTTTCATTTCGGGGACAGAGAGTTGGTATGGAGGGCGGCAAGGTGGAGAATGCCCAGGTTCCAAATCAATGGTATGGGATACGCCACGATCCGGAGGTAGTTCGACGGGTAAGGACTCGGGAGAGACGTCCTTGAAATCGTCGAGGATTGAGGTGATGGCGGGGTTGGAGGGGGGGGCTTGATCGGGTTTGTCCGTCGGGAGTAGTCAAGGACAAGACAGTAGTAGGCGGAGTCGGGGTTTAGGCGAGCCATGTGGAGGAATTGGTGCGGGGTGACAGAGCCTTGGGAGGTCGGATATGGGAGATAGGGGATGTCGATGGTTGTGTCGGGGGGTTGGTGAGGCGAAGGAAGTTGGGGTGGAATGTGTATGGCATGTAGTGGTCCAGCCACAAGGTTCCTAAGACGATGTCGCACATCAAGTTCATGACATTAAACGAGACATGACTGCGGAGGGTTCCGACGGTGATGGTGGTCTTGGGAACCGTGCGGTCTACTACGACGGCGGTGTATTTGTCCCCTAGGCGAATTGTGATTGGCGGTGATGAATTTGAGGTGGAAATGAGATGAGTTGGCGGTGGAGATGATGGTGTTGAGGCGGCGTTGTTCGTTACCTAAGCGGACAAGCTGATCGTGTCGAGCTTGTTCCTCAACAACGTCGGAGAAGGTGATAGTGGATGGGTTTGGGAGAAGGGTAGAGGAGCATGAGGCAATGGAGGAGGTCGGCGGGGGGGTGCTGCTGGAGGCGGCTGTGGAGGAGGGAGTGCTCTGCGCTGTGGAGGAGGGAGGTGCGGCCGTGGTGACGACAGTGATGGAGGGGTTGTTCCCTTCGAGCGTGGTGACGCGGTCGGATATGGACGATATGGTGGCCTTTATGTCGTTGAGAGAGGCGGTGACGGAGGTTTGGAGGGTGTGGAGTGTGTCGAGGATGGCAGAGAGGTCGGGGGTGGTGGTGTTTGCTGGTGGTTGTTCGCCTGCGAGGTTTCGGGCGATGCTATCGACTGAGTCGGTACGGATGTCAAACATGTTGATGGAGGATGCGGCCATGTCGGGGGAAGAGGGGGTGGAGGACGTGGCCTGAACGGATGTGGAGGATCCAGCAGCAGCGGTGGCGGCGGCAGCAGCGGCGGTGGCGGTGGAGGCGCGTTGGGAGTTCTTGGTTTGGCATGGTGGCATGTGAAGGTGGGGGGGGCAATCCTTTATTTATTTATCAATAAATTCAAAAATAAAGATAATTCAATCATAATTGCCAAGATTTTTTGGAAAGTAGGAAATTTTATTTATTCGAAATTAATTTGGGTAGAACAAAATTTTGAAGGATCCAAAGGAGAGATTTACAAAATTCGCTGTTCAAAAAGGATTCGTCAACGCTAACGCGGCTAAATCCGCTATATATTTTAAACGCCAAATATTGGTAGAAAATAAATTTGAATTTATTTCAAATTTTATTTACGTGAAATTTTGGAATATCTTCAAATCATAGAAAAAGAATTAGGAGGTGGAATTTTATTTTATTTTTTTGAAATTTTGGAAAATTGATCCCGAAGGAAGGGATTAATTCCGAATGTGAATTTAAAGAAATGTCGGCAGAGAAAAGAAATTTTGAGACGATTTAAAAATAAGTAATTAATTTCAAAGTTCAAAATGTGAATTCAATATTTTGGAAAAGGGCTAATTATGAGTTGCAAAAGGATTCCAAGGAATTTGGAAAGAAATTAAGGGTATTCCAAAAAGAGATGAATTAATTCTAAAGTATTCAAGAAATTTTGAATAAGAAAAAGAAATTTCGAAGAAAAAGAATTACTTAATTTCAAAATATTTCAAAGAAATTTGGAAAAGAAGTAATGAGTTATTTTTAAACTCAAGACTTCGAGAAAGAATAAATTAGTTAATGCAAAAGGTAAGTTGAGAAGGAAAATTTCAAACGGAAAAGATTTTCAAAGAAAATTGTGAAAAGGGTGATAACCCGGTGATTTAATTCTGAAGTATTTCTAAAAGATTTTCTAGAGCTAACGAATTAATTGGGACGTATTTTCGAAAATAGTACAAAAGTAATTTGGAAAAGAAACAATTTCTAAAACGAATAATTTCAATCGTGAAATTTCAAAAAAGGGAAGCTTTAAATTGCAAAGAATTTTCAGAGGAAGTATTTCGAGAAATTTGAAAAATTAACTACTCATTTCCAACGTATTTCAAAAAGAAATTTTGAAAAGTGGCTGATCGTTTTTTTTTTTTTTTTTTTAAGGTATAGATTGATGCAAAAGTATTTTGAAAGGAGATAGATTAGCTAGATGATAGGACTTGGATAACTAACGGGGCGCAGCGGGGGGCGTGAATACGCGCGGAGGGAGGAAAGGGGGAATCGGGGGGGAAGCAGGATTGGGTCCGGGGG